CCCCCGCCGCTACGGCCCGGCGCTGCGCGGGGCCAGGGCCAGCGGCATCGAGAGCACCCGCTGCAAGTCTGGCGGGACTCCGAGCTGTGTGGAGTGGTCGACACGCTGGAGGAAGGGGATGTGCCATCCAGAGAGATCTGGACAGACCCTCAGCATCAGGAGGACGTGGACCTGCTCGAGCGGGTCCAGAGGAAATCGTGAAGATGTCCGGGGGGCTGGAGCACCCCCTGTGAGGGCAGGCTGAGGGAGTTAGGGGGTTCAGCTGGAGAAGAGAAGGCTCCGGGGAGAGCTTAGAGCAGCCTCCCAGTGCTTAAAGGGGCTGCAGGAAAGATGGGGAGGGACTCCTGATTAGAGGGTGTAGGGGTAGGACGAGGGGGAACAGTTTTACACTGACAGACAGTAGATGTAGATTAAAGGAAGAAATCCTTCCCTGTGAGGGTGGTGAGACATTGGCACAGGCTGCCCAGAGAAGCTGTGGCTGCCCCCTCCCTGGCAGGGTTCAAGGCCAGGTTGGACGGGGCTTGGAGCAACCTGGGCTGGTGGAAGGTGTCCCTGCCCATGGCAGGGGGGTGGAGATAGATGGTCTTTAAGGTCCCTTCCAACCCAAACCCTTCTGTGATTCTATGACCTGTACCTCTGCAGGGGCAAAACACTGTCGCAGCAGTAGCCAGCACCCTTCCTGTCTTACAGCCCCTCTGTTTAGCATGCGTTGGTCTGACTCTGCAGCATGGTGCAAGAGTATCTCCAGTAAAGGCTGCATATAGCCTCAGCTGTGATCAGGTACCTCTCAAACACAAAAATCAAAGCCCCGGGCTGTGTTTAAGAGCCTGAATGGTGTGATCATCTTGGTTTAGCACCAATGTGTCAGGCCAGCTGGCCCCAATCCTTTCACCTAAATGCATGCTCTCATTTTATATGGGGAGACTGTTGTGGCAGTTGCTCGGTGATTGAAGAAAACCCCAGTTGAAGTGTTCTGCAGTAACACTATCTATTAATCCCATTAATCCTTGCATTACTGTATCAGGCTTCTCCCCCTCCTTCATCTGTTGTCAAAACTGTGAAAGCTCTAAAATCTTCATGAAAAGATGGCAAAACATTCCTCTAACTTCTTTACCTAGTGAGGAAAAGAATCCTGTACACGGAGTTTTAAAATTCCAGGTCTTCCTTGGCGATTTTGCCTACTCTCAATAAAGAGTCTAAAACTAAAACCCTCCAAAATGTCTTCTTTCCCAATACTCCATTCCTGGCAAACAGTCTTTTGCTTCAAATCAGTGGGGATCCATTTTTCAATTTAAAACAAATGTTCATCCTTTGGACCCTAGCAGGGAGCTGTGTATTCCATGCTGGAGGATCTGTAATTAAACAGTAGGTGAAGTGCTTATTTATGTTGAATTTTTCTGGGTAAGAAGTGTATATGTAAGTAAGTGATGTAGCTGTGCTTATTTGTGACCTGCAGAATAGTTTGAACATGGAGTGTGAGATTTGGATTTGCTCTTCCACAGCTCCACTAACAAAGGAAAACACAGAGTTGGTTTATCTCACTTGCTCTGTGTTTATTTTGTCATGACTGGTAACTCATATGGGAACAGGTCATTCATCTGGGGATATCAATGTTCATTTCTTGGCTAATGACAATAGTCTTCACTTCAGGAATGTCACAGAAATACGTAAGTGCTGTCACTTGAAATTACTTTTCAAAGAACTAGTGCAGAGTTGGAGTTCCTTTGCTCCACAACCCAAACCAGTTTCACTCACAAAAACATTAAGGGTGAAAGGCAGAGGTTGAGACCATTGCCTTTTGTATTTTTGATAGCTTAGTTTTAGTTCTGAGAACTGGGAATGGGATTCTTAGCAGAGAAAATGTACCACATTTCATCATGATGAGACCAAATGTTGGTTGGAGCTCCTTGTGTGTATCAGAAAGGTCACGTGTTATGATGAGGCACTGGGGTCACTATGCAAGTACAAGAGATGTGTGCTTCACGTGGGGAGCTGTGACAAGGAACTGATCAGTAGCACTGAACATGAGGCAGTAAAACAGAAGATAAAGACCAGAAATGTGGATGATGTCTATCATTTCTAGTAATGTCTTTTCATGTCAGCTTTTATGCCATGCCACTGATTAATTCTGACTGGTGTGGTCTACAAAAAAGCATATACTTTGAAGTAAGGGCATTACAAGAAATAGTATGTGAGAGAAATTAATTGGAATTAAAAAATTAGATGTGTAATCTCTTCACACGTAGGAAGTTTCCATGTACACATCTGAACTTTCTGGTTAGGCAGACACTGGTTCTAATCAAGCCTTGATCTGAGAAACCTGATCTCTGGACCACAACTCTAGCTTGTTCCAGTCCCTAAAACTAATAGGAAATATTTAGTCAATCCAATGTTGTATGCACTTTCCCAAACAGGTATTCTAAATTCTTCTGTTAAGTCACATTACAAAAATGTGTTAAGTGTTTGTCTCTGAGCATTAATGCTGCTTAATACCTCTCGAGTCTTGCTCTCTCCAGCTAAACCATACTTGGAGGTATCAAATGCGATGATATTTTTATAGCCAACTTAAAAGCTGGTGCAAATGATGAAACGCCTTTCTACTTAAAAGACCCTGGATTATTAAAAGAAGATCCTTGGATTATTTCTTAGGTAAAAGCAGAGAAAATAGATTTTTGTGTATTTTCAACAAATACTGGGGGTGCAAAAAAGTGTCAGGGGAAGTGTATTCATATCTATTTCTAGGTCTATGGAGAAAAAGAAAGAACAACTAATGTGCTATGTGACAGGACAAGAATATAGGGCAAGAGGAAATTTGCTGTGGAAAAAGTAGCTTCTTGAAACCAAACTATTCACAAATTTGGATCAAATTTTAACAAATTGTTTTGACTGAAAAGATGGGAGCACTGGATTTAAAAGTATTTGTGCCAGTATTTTTAGAGTGAATTTCAGAATAGCACTGTTTGTTTAAAAAGTAACATAAATCAAAAGAAGGCAGCTAAGCAAAAGTTAAATAATCCTAAAATGTCAGAAAATATTGAATTATGCAATGATTGAAATATCTCAGTCAAAACAGAATAACATTTCTCAAAAATATTTGCTGTTCAGGGAGAGAAACCAATTATTTAACCCTATTCTCGTCCATCATCTTTCCCTACCTCTGAGACTGACCTCTACCAAATTTTCAGATTCACAACAGACCTAAAAATAATCTACTTTTTCATCTGTAAATAGGACAAATACTCATCATGGTGGTACTAAACTACTAAAGAACATCTAAACGGGAAGCATGAATTTACAGTGTATGTAGCAGAAGCTATATTTCA